GAGTACACCCCCCCCCCCCTTGTACGCCGGCCCTACCGCGCCCGAACTTCTTTCCCCCACCTCTCATACACTAAAAACAAGAGCGCACCCTCAACCCCACCTTCTTGTTGGTAACGAACGACAGGTCAGCTTCAGACGGCTTTCCCGTGAACTGGACCACTAGTCTCAGCATCTGGGCCGTGTTGGACCCCATGAAGAGCGGCTTCCGCTGGAGCATCTCCGCCATGATGCAGCCCGCCGACCACACGTCGATGGCGGTGCCATAGTTCGCCTCCAGGAACACCTGCAACCAATTTGGCGTGGTGGAAGGTATGCTGTGTAATTATTTATCTTTCGTCAATGCTGCTGTAGTGGAAGGAGTCATATCTTTGCGGCGCGTGTTGCGCCCTGTTCTCTCGCAATATGTTGTCTTTCTTTTTTTTCCCTCAAGAAGTCAGCTTGTTCCGGGACTTGCATGTTCCGTCCTTTTCTCTTGAATAATTCGTATTTTTCTGCCAGTAGCGCATGCAGCCATTTAGTCGCGGTGCTTGCTCGTTCCGTCCCTGTTCTTGTCAACATCATTTTGTACGTTTTTTTTTTTTTGTCAAAAGTGCAACAATGTTGCGGGGCTTGCTTGTTCTGTCCTTTTTTCCCTTGTTAAAAAACGATGCACAAAAGGGAAAAAACGCACACAACACACAGGTCCACCTCAATCCACCGCTTGTATTGGGGAACGAGATGGCTGGTGGGTGCTATCTCGCGCCTCCACAGACACCAGCGAACCCTCGTTTTCCGTCCTCTACCCTAACCCTGCAGCAGCGCCGACCGTCTTTGGATGGCCGTATTTGCACCCGCTGCACTATGTTCGAGCTGAACGGTACTCGCTCCTACACTCCGCCTGCACGCCCAACACATGATGTCAGAAACTCCCTTCTCGACTGGACGGTCAAAGACACGAACCAGCCCTTGCATTCACCCCATGATACCAAACAAGCTCGTAAAATTATCCTCCTCGAGATTGGTGCTTGCGGTTAACTCCACACACGTCAGGCACAATAAACTCATTCTCCCTGTGTTTCGATTTCAAACCCGAACATTCTCGGACCATTCCCACTTGTTGCAGCCCGGGAAGTCTATGAAAAATAACTGTTCGCGTGCGTCAACTGCCTGCAGGAAGGAAGGTCGGCGATTGGGGCTGCTACTACTTTAGCCAAGCTTTTTCGCCCATATGATGAAAAGACAAGACCGACAGCGAGATAATGGTACAACTCAAGCCGATCAATCCGACCTTTGTGCGAGGCCAAAAAGAAGAAACACCTCTACGCCAATCCAAACAGATTGCAGCAGCATGGACTCCATTTCATTAGGCGAGAAACACCAAGCACCTCTTGGCCAATCAGCACGCAGCAGCATCAAGAGATGAAACAGAAATGACTCTCTCTCTCTCTCTCTCTCTCTCTCTCTCTCTCTCTCT